CCTTTTTCTTTTTGTCATCCTTGAGCTGGGTCACAAAACTAGAGCCCGAGGGACCCTGGAATCTCAGTAGGATGTGGAACAAAAAGAAACATGTCTCACTAATAAGCTCAGAATCTCTGCCCCCTCCCCAGCTAATATTTTTGGGTACTCCCTGTGCCCCAAGCATTGTGCTAACCCCATGGCACTGTGGCTTGGGCGGTGTGCCGATCATCAGTGGATGCCCACTTCGTGTTTCTTACTGCGGCTGTGGGGAGCAGAGTACTCTTCTATTCCAGGGCCGCGGGAACCAGCCTGTCTGAGACCCTAGCTTTTCATTGGCAGAGCTGAGGTGGTCTCAAGCATGTGTATCACTCTAAATCACAGGGCTTGCACACCCTTCTCCCAGCCCAGTCACAGGGTCTGCACGCCCTTCTCCCAGTATGGTATTGCCTGCCAAGGGGCAGGAGTTGTGGGCAGAAAGTCAGTGTCAGAGAGCAATGTCAAAGGACACCAAGTGTGTCCTTTCCTCATAGAGTCTCTAGCTGGCCTGGGGCCTTCAGACTGCTGCTGTTCAGTTATGACCTTCCTGGTTGCAAGAAAACTTTTCTATTTCCCCTTCCCAGAGAGATCTGGGCACCTCCCCCCCTTTTAACTTGTCTTACTGGGTCTGTGGACAGTAGTATAGTTGTCCTTTGTTTTACAGATAATATACACTTAGGAGTGAGTATGTGCCATGTTTGTTTTTCTCCATCTGGGTTACCTGACTCAGGATGACTTTTTCTAGTTCCATCCATTTCACCTACAGATTTTCTGGCGTTATTGTTTTTAAGGTGACAGCCTCAAAGGCTAAGGGGGAAAAGTGGGAGTGGGTGGGAGTCAGGGAGGAAAGACAGTCCGTGTCTAGATACTAACCAAGTGCAATTCATGAGTGTTGATCACGTCATGGCTTTAAGGGGGGAAAAGACTGAAAATGGAGCGGACTTGGTGAAGTATAGACAAGGCGTTGGCTATAAATAGACTGTTTGCCTGGGTGGATTAAGTGTCTTATAGGTATGTGGAGAAATCACCTTATTTTAGGAGGTGTGGGCTAAAGCATTTAGGGATGAAGTATTAGGACATCTCATTTGCAAATGGCTCAAAAAAAAACCCTTGTATTTATACTTTAGATCAGGAAAAGAATAAGTGGAACGTTAACATCAAACGTCGAATCTCGGTGTTGGGTGCGCAGATGGTCCTTGTTTATTCTTGCCCATGTATGCCTGTGTTCAACATTATTATCATAAAATTGAAAAGCAGGTGCCCCGACCTCACCTCACTCTCCTGCCTGCCTCTTCTGCCAAGCTGGGAGTGTAGGAGGCGGTGCAGCACTGATTGACATCCCGGCTTCCCTCCACCTTCTGGGTGGAGATGAACTTTGTTCCAGGGTCTGTGTTCTAGTAATCTCAGAAAGCTGGCCAGCGGGCACCACCTCGTTCCGGTTCTGTGTGCACTTTGTTCCCTTCTGACAACGGGAACTTGGGGGAAATGGAGACCTGATATTCTGCGGCACACAGTCTTTCTTGTACAGTTAGAGCTGGGTGAACGCTAGATCCAGGATATAATGCCCTGCCACTATAAATTCCTCCCAGCTCTCCATCTGGATGATGGGATTATTGTCGTTTCCCGTGCCATTCCCGTTTTCTTCCCCACAGAGGCTTTTGTTATGGGTCATCCTGACACTTTGCTAGCATTATTTTCTGTAAGAGGTTGTCCAGGTGAGCCACAATTATTGTGCCTGTGACAGTAAGGACGGGTATTCTAGACAGGAGATGTATCTAGTGGCCTTTTTTTTCCCAGGTGGTTTATGAGGAGGAGTGTGAGGGACAGAAATGGCAGTTAACAGCAGAGAGGGCCCCTGCTGAGGAGTACTGAGCCTGGGGCCCCTGCGGTTAACAAAGATCTATAATGAAGATCTATTTCCCCTTTGACAGGGAGGTTGTCTCAGCAGGTGGCTGCCTTTTAGTGTGTTTAGCCAAATGGGGACTTTTCACAGAACACAGCCTACTCAAGCCCCCTGCTGCGTTCCCAGTCTTCCCTTGTCCTGCTCTCCTGACTCTGCTGTGAGCTGGCGAAGCTGCCTTGTTAGTCAGCCTAGACTATCAGGCCAGTTCACTGCTGCGGTTAGGAAATTTGCTGGGAGCCTGCGTCTCATCCCACAGTTCAAAACAGAAGAGCGACCTCATCTCAGCCATCCCCTTACAAGCAGGGGACCTTGTTTGGGAGGAGAGGAAGGGTTCGTTGGATACAGATGGGAAAAGTGCTTTACTTTCTAAGCTTAAGCATGTGAACCCATAAATAATCCCGCGTTGAATTTGGCATGGACCGTTTTACTCAGCCTTCAAGCCTGGAGCTTCACAGCCTTTCCCCACAGAGATCACAGCCTCATTGCACTCCTGACTCAGAACGGGGCTTGCGGGCAGTGCAGCTGACACTCTGCATTGGCACTTTGGTACAAGCCACCCGAGAGCTCGTGACAGAGCCCTCCCTGCAGTTCAACTAGGAGACAAATGTATTCTGAGAAGCCATTTTCAATAAAAGAGGGACAAGGGTGGGAATGGGCTGGAAGTAATAGCAAGCTGGTTTTCCAATCAGCAGGGGTGGAAGGGGTGTTCCAGAGGTCTCTCTACTTCTCTCAACAGGCTGGGCAGGTGCAGCCCCACTAGGGCCTCCAGGGAGTCCTGGCTCCTTTTCCAGCTCTCATCCAGCACGATCGTTTTCATTATAAACAATCTTCTGCGAAACTCCCTGTTTCTCAGGCTTTTCTCTCTTGCAGTCTTTGCTGAGAAGGGCTTGGGAATGACACCTGTGTTTTGGGCTCCGTGCTAATCTTTTCTCTCCAGCCGCATTTGGATGTCTAGCTCAGGCAGTGCAGAAGCACTGCGTGGGATCAGCCCGCTTCCCAGGAAGCCCACCAGGCAGGCTTCGACAAGAGCCACAGCACCGGTAGCTCCAAGTGGTGTTTTTCAGTTTTACTCAGTTTTTTTCATCATGACCACTGGCTTACGGAGCACCTCTGCTGGGTCAGCTCTCATCAGACCAGTGGCGCTGGAGAAAAGCTGCGGCGGGGAGGGGAATTGGTGTTCTCACAGACTCCTGTTCATCCCTTGCAACCATCTCACAAGGGAGGCGCAGCCTTGCAGTCTCCATGCAGGCTGTTGTTTTGAGTTAGGGTTCCTATTGCTGTGACAACACCATGACCAAAAAGCAAGCTAGGAAGGAAAGGGTTTGGCTTACACTTCAGCATTGCTGTTCATCACCGAAGGAAGTCAGGAAAGGGACTCAAACAGGGCAGGATCTGAGGCCATGCAGAGGAGCTGCGTACTGGCTCGCTTCCCATGGCTTCCTCAGCCCACCTTCTTATGGAACCCAGGACCACCAGTCGAGGGATGGGACCACCTACCATGGACTGGGCCTTCCCCCACCGATCACTCAATGAGAAAATAAATGCTTCGCAGCTGGATCTCATGGAGCAGTTCCTCAGCTGAGGCTCCTTCCTCTGATGACTCCAGCCTGTGTCAAGTTGACACACAAAAGCAGCCAGTGCAGTTGTGGATGGAGAGACAGTGAGAAGTTACTCATCCACATGGCCAGGCAGTGGTGGCGATGGCTCTAGAGCCCAGGGATTCCAAAAGGTTTTTAATGAAACACGCCGCTTCTCCCTGCACCAAGCCCAGCCCAGCCCGGCAGTTTACGCACATATGACCTTCATATTGTGCAGGCGATGTCTCAGGAATAACATCCCATTTGTCTAGTGTGCTATGGTTTAGATACTTACTGCTCTGTAGGATGGGTACCGTTGCTGCTCTCTAGACTGTCAGCCAGCAAGCAGTATGCTGGTGTGTGGCATACCAACCACCATTTTAAGCTTTGACAGTGGACTTTGTTATTTCCCTGTTTCCCTCCCTGTCCCACAGTTGCCTGCCTCACCCAAGCCCAGCTCTCAAGGGGTTCTTTGTAGTTGTCACGGCGTTGACACGACCTCGGTTAATGAGATGGAGTCATTCAGAGCAGGGCCATTTGCCCAGATGTCAGCTATGAGCTGTATGATCTTGCCTGACCTTGGAGAGGGGACAGAGAACCAGGGCTCTGTAGACCAGCAGTGCCAGCCCTGGTGGAGGGTTCAAACTCTGAAGGAAGGTTGAGCCACTGGGGCACAAGTCCTCTGGTAATGAAGTCATGTGTCCTCAGGAGCAAGAATGGGCTCTCTGTGAGATCAGAAACAATGAGCATGTTGAGTCCAAGACCTGGGGTGAATGGGACAGGGGATGAATTGGGACAATTCAAGAGATGCATTCTTCAAGGACCACTTTATGTTGTCAACAAGTGGACCCAGCTGTCATGATGCCCAGTTAACGGTCATCAGTGCACCATTTTGGGTGATTTCTCTCAAGTCGTGACCTCTTTAAGGCTTTTGGAAAAGTTTTAGCAAGCATCAAATAACTTCTCTAAAATAACGTGAAGAATGGATGGGAAATAAGTCTGGGCAGCACCGTCTTGTTTATTCTTTCTCCTGGGATCATTTTCTTCAGCTAGGAACCAAATACTTTGCTGGTGTCTAATTACCAGGTTGTTGGTCTCTACTCTCTGCCGTTAAATAGCAAACCCTGTTGGTGTTTTAGAGAACTCGGTTTATGAGACAGCACAGCAGTGGCCACTGCCTCACGAACTCTACAAGGGGCTGCCAGGGTATTGGCAAAGTTTCCTGCTGGCCATGCCTGCATCTGTGATGTTTGGCTGCTGGGGCAGTGGCCCTGGTTGTGAGTGCCCCAGCAGAAGGTTGGTGGGAGCCAGATGAAGTCCCCAACCACGCGCACAACACTCAGTGTTGCCACAGAACGAGGAACAATGGCATCCAGAAAGTGCCGGGGGCTGGGAGCTGAGCGCGGGAAGGTGGGCGGGAAGGTGGCGGGCGTCCCGGGTGGGGCGGCGCGGGGCGGGGCGGGGCCTGGCCAGCCGCTCACCCTCCTCCTCTCTGGACATAGGTGAGGCCGCTGGCCGCTAGGACTTCCCACTCCGTATGAATGCCGCCAGCCCCGGACCGGGACCTCACTGCTTCTGCCGCCTCGGACCGCGGGACTAAGCGACCCTTGCCGCGACTTCCTTTCCGGGCCCCCTCGCATCTCACCGCTGTCTTTCTGGATTGACCTCGTGGACTCCTGTCTCGCCTTCCCACCGTGAACATCAATATGTGTCATGTCATTGTCACCTGCCGCTCGATGCTCTGGACCCTCCTGAGTATCGTAGTGGCCTTTGCCGAGCTCGTCGCCTTCATGAGCGCAGACTGGCTGATTGGGAAAGCCAAGACCCGCGGCGCCGGCGCCGAGCCGGCAGGCACTGACTCGGAGCCCTACTACCTGGGCATCCTTTGCATCCGCACGCCGGGCATGCAGCAAGTCCCTCGGGACACACTGTGTGGGACCTACGCCAAGAGCTTCGGGGAGATCGCCAGCGGTTTCTGGCAAGCCACTGCTATTTTCCTGGCCATGGGGATCTTCATTCTCTCCGTGGTGGCCTTGGTGTCCGTCTTCAGCATGTGCGTGCAAAGCATCATGAAGAAAAGCATTTTCAACGTCTGCGGGCTCCTGCAGGGAATTGCAGGTGAGTGCTGGGTGAGGGAGGAGCCCGAGCTCAGGACTCCTGGCACGGGTTGCCCGCCTCTGCTGAAGAGGGCTGGTGGCCAGGGTCCCTTTCCCCTCCCCGGAGTCACTCCCTCAGCAGTACCAGGCTCACAATCTAGCATTGCATGCCACTCCTCCTTGCCTGTTTCCTTTGGGGCTGAGTTATTGGGTTTTGTTTGAGTAACTGTTCCTACTCTGCTTTTCTCATTAAATTAAATCTGTGCGAGGTCGGGGTGGGGCATGTCTGAAGGGTTTGCTCAGAGCTAGTTAATCTCAGCTGTAGCAAGAAGTCTCTGCGGAGAGGGAAAGATATTGCCTTGGTTCCCTGTTTAGAGACAGAGAGCTTGCCCTCCTGCCCTGGTGAGTTCAGCTTTGGGCAGGGAGGACCCCAGCCAGGAGGACTCCAGCCGGGAGGACTCCAGCCGGGAGTGGACTGGCATCAGATGCTCTGTATTTAATGTTGTTTCCACTTAAATTGTCTCCTGGAGTCTGACAGAAAGTTCTGTGCAGTCAGAGCAGAAGATGCAAGCTAACTTCCATTTTTTTTTTTTTTTCCTGGGCATTTCTCACAAATGAGCTTGGTGGAAATGGGTGGAAAGTCTTGAGTTCTTGACAGTGATCCTTAAGGGGAGACAGCAAGAAAAGGCCTGTGGACCTTGGCTTCTCCAAAGGGTTGAGGTGGAGCCTGACCCAAGACTGCAGTCGTTAGCCAGGGCCTCTGTGTGGAATTAGAAAGCATCCCCCAGAGGAGGGGCATCGTTCCCATTTTAAACAAGGTACTATTCTTTCAGCCGTGGTGGGAGGAGCATGAGTCTACCGTAGCCCTATTGAAGAGAACAGGTGGTTCCCTCTCCACTCTGCAGAAGCAGGGCCTGGGCCCTTCATCCGTGGAGACCCGCTGAGCCCTGGAGCCAGGGATGTGGCAGACCCTACGTGAACTACTCCACTCAGACTCAGAGCAAACTCTTGAGTTCAGCAGGGCTGCTTCCAAATAAACAGATCAAATGACAGGTCTTTTTCCAAACAACTGATAAGATAACATTTTCTGTCCCTCCTGTTGTGATTAAGGACTGGGGTAATGGGCTAAGAGATGACAGAAGCTTTTCTCAGCCTGGGCTGCCTCCATGGATTATTCTCTGCCTGACAGTCTTCAGACACTTTATCTGATAGGATCGACTGTGTCGTGAAGGACCAGGTAGATGTAGACACAGAATCTGCCGGAACAAGCTTCTGTCTCCTAGCTTTGCTACTGACTAGGAGATCCACTTTCGGGCAGAGGACTACCTCTCTGCTAAGTGAGGAGACTAGAATGTGACAACCCCTTAGTGTTTGTTTGTTTTAATTTAAGGGCTCTAATTCTGCGAAGCCCTGTGTCCATTAGATTCCTGTCTGAAATCTGAAGTCTGTCCTTGGTGTTTCACTACCCAGAAACGTTAGAGGCAGAGAGTTTGGGTCCTTTTTCTTTCCAGCTTTCTTCTCCTCAGACATAACGCCTCAGGTATCTATCTTAAAACATGTGTGAAGTATTACCAGAAGGTTTTAAAAAGTTAAACTAAACTAAGCCTGCACCCAGGATTCATTCCTCCTCTTAAAGAGCCCTGGTTAGCCAGAAAGGAGGGATTGACATCCTGACCAGGTCCAATAGACCTTCCACGCTTTCATCCCTTGCTTGTGGGCTTGTTAGTAAGCCGGCCTGAGAGACTCATGGTGTGTCCTCCTGGAGTCCTCTTCCCATGAGAAACTCACAGAAATTTCTAGGTTCTGGCAAAAAAGAAAAAGAAAGTGGCCATTTACAGCATGGGGTTGAGACATTTGGGCTCCAGCATGTCTTGTAGTTTTGGGGTGCAAAGCAGAGGCATCCTTTATCTTCTGGTCTTGAAGTCTATTCCCGTGCACCTTGTTTTGTTTTTTTCGTTTCTGTTTCACTTTCTTGAACATATGGGAATCTTCCTGTCTCAGCTTCTAGATGTTGATATTACAGCCATGGGTTATCTGGTAAAAACCCCGTCATTCCAGTAAGCTCCACCCCTGAGGATGAGTTAACCTAACAAATCTTCTTATGCCCTCGGGTGCTGTTTCTCACAACTTGCAAAAAAACCTTTTTTGCAGAGTTAAGTGTGTATTCACACAAGTGAATTTTTATGACCTCTCTTCCTGCATAAACCGTCGGAGAAGAGTTAAAGAGGAAGTACACCTCATGGACCAGTCTGCTGAGCTTTCTAAAGAAATCTGAATTTTCTGTCCACCCCAGTGACCTTTGGGCACATTTCAGAAATGTCACTCAGGGTTTTCAACTGGTAAGAGGCAGAGGGCTTTCCTGCCTAGCACTCTGCTCTCCTGGGCCACGGGCTTGAAGTGATGGTCTGGAATACAGAAACGGCAGCCTTCTGTCCATCACCAAGCTGACGGTGCACAACAGCGAGACAATGATGGGTATGGATGAGTTAGTCTTCTCAGTTCCCACATCTGCCAGAGGGGCTCAGTGGGTGCCTCCCCTAGGACGGAGGTCCACACCAGTGTGAAGATACTGGCTGTCATTCACCAGCAGCTTAGGACCCCATTGAATGGCTGCCCTAAGGCGGTCCTCTGCTGCGCCCCCTTGTGGTCGCTTACAGTGAAGCAAATGGGGAGCAAGGAAGCTAGTGGAATGGTAGTTCTTACCCTGTGGCAAAGTGACACTTTAAAAAGTGACTCACCGGACATAAAACTATGAGACGACATAAGCATACGCCCTAAAATAAATAGTCCACGGACTTATATAGAGGTACAAACCGTGAACTGGATGTAGTGGTATATGTCTGTAATCTGAGCCCTTGGAAGAGGGAGGCAGAAGGATGGACCATAAGCTCAAGTCCAGCCTGGGCTACATATCAAGACCCTCTCTCAGAACAAACCATATCTTTAAAATACTATGTTTTGGCTTTAGAGCTATGTGCAGAAGAACTACCTCCATAGAAGCTGCTAGCGGTTACTTTTCGGTTACTTTAAAAGCAACAACTACAGTTAACTGAGAATGCAGGGTTTGTTTCAAGGCCGGACCTAAGGGCAGCCAAGAAGCTGGTCATTCCTGCCTTCACATAGCGGAGTGGTCCCTGGAGCGTGGATTTACCTCAGGGCTGTCAATCACCGCAGGTTTAGTCCACTTCTCTGTGGTTTGCAAACGGGTGCAACCGTAGCACACAGCGCAAGGTTGTGTGAGGATTAAATTAGACAGCAAGTTAGCAAGACAATAAGTTAGCGTGATGTTGGCATTTAGGAAATCATGGTAGCTCTGTGGCAGCTATGGGAGAGTCACTGTTTTCTTGCCAAGTTTTAGAATGCCTTTGTGTTTCTAAGAATTGCTACGTTCTAAGGAACAGGGAATCTTTTATAAGCCATTGGAATTGGCTTTATTGTCCTCAAGTCCTGTATTTTCCGCACGACACTGCTCTCTGGTGCCTTAATTGCCACCCGGGATGAGGTTGTGGGGCACCAGCGCAGAGCCGAGCTTAGGCCTGGGACCGTTAGAGCTTTCTTAGACACCAGTTCTCAGAAACGGAGGAGCGTAGATCCACGTCTTCCTCTCACCCGCATGTACGCTTCCCTGTGCTCTCTTCCTGGAGGCAGCGTCCACATTTGCGGCTGGCTGCAGGTGGCTGCTCAGACTCCCCCGGCAGCAGAGACTTCAGACTAGCCCGCACTAGCGGAGAGCGTGGCCAGGACTTGGCAGAGCCAGCAGCACACATGGGTTCAGATTCCTCTGGGACTCATTACAAAAGCTGGGTACCCAGCCAGCAGGCCTGGCTTCTGCCAGCCGTCTTCCTTAGGTTGTGACCTGGATGTAATCCATAGTGAAACTGTAGAATGCAAAGATCCAGGTTTTCCATGACAGCATCAAACGGTTTGTTTTTGGAAATGCATGGAGGGTGAACGTTGAAGTCCATGGAATCCCCAGTGACTCAGGCTTGGGACAGAAGCCATTCAAATGAGCTCAAGACTTGGCTCAGCTGTGCTGGCAGGGACTGGTCCACTGAGATTTGCCATGAGGGTTGCTGGGCCTGTCTGTCTGCTGTCTTCCAGTCCTTCCTCACAGGCCTCTCTCGATCTTTTGGCTCTCGGATTCTTCGCTCCCTCCAGCCCTTTGTCAGTCTGTGTGATCTCGGCCTCGCAGGACATCCTCGGCGAGTGTTCCCACTGTTCTGACCAGAGAGACTCCTGTGGGCTGGCCTCCGCCTCTGCCGTCTGCAGTGGAGGGTGTAGTCATGTAGCCTTGGCCACGAAGGGCCTGCTATGCATGGTTCTCCTTCCTTAAAGGTGAACGGGATGGCAGAGAGGGAGGGAGGACTGGGAACGTGAAAATCAGTAAAAATGATGAGGACGTGGGACCGGTAACTGCGGCACTGCCTTGGTTGTGCATCAGAGTGTGAGCAGTGAATGGGCATGTGCAACACCAGCTGCCATCCAGGCTTTGCAGTCACCAACGTGACCGTGTGGGGAAGCATGAGTGGTCAAGCACCCGCCATTGCAAGCCAGGCGGTCCTCCTTCATGAACCCCAGTGTGAGTGGCGCTATGGAGGAAAGGTCAGACACCCCGAATTCCATCCACCATTGACCCTCCAGAACCAGGGTCTGGGAGGGATGAGTGGGTGTGAGATACACGCTGGCTGCTGTCTGGGACTGGTTTCCTTTTCCTCCACAGAGTGGACTATAGCAGTGGCATCAAGATGAAGCCCCTAGCACAGCTTGGTCCCAGCCTCCACTATACTTTTCTCTCTATTCAAGGTCAGGAAGATGAGATCACCGAGGAAGGGGAGAGAAACGGAATCAGGGACTTGGGAAGTGAAAGGCCTGACCATGACTTTACCCCTGAGAAAGACATCTACATCACAAACATTTCAAACTCTCTTAAAATTGAGATTCAGTGTTTGATCTGCAAGTAAAATGTGAGCATGGCCGGCCATGGCGACTACTTCATTGTAGACGTAAATTGTCATGCAGCCA